CAAAGCCGAAGCTTCCACCACCGAATCCTCCCTTGGATACTGGACATATGCCCCCAACTCCGCCGTTAATGAAACTCAACGAACTGGTTATCGTAGGCCCGCCTTCGCTTTTCCCTCCCCCGTTGCCTTTGAGCCCCGCTCCCCCTCCTACTAAGATATTGTAATCTACACTCCCTGTATTAGCGTTACATGGTTGTCCACCATTCCCTCCCGTCCCGCCACATCTGGTGCCGTTCTCTGTCGCCTGACCGGGGTCACCGTCTTCAAATTGCTTCTCCGGTTTCCCTCCACCACCTCCCCCACCAGCAATAATTAGCGGTGTGGCATCTAAGAAAGTCACAAAAGTGCCGCCACCCCCACCCCCTGGCGCATCACCGAAGTCTGTACCATGGTGACCCTCCTGGCCTACAAGTATCTTAAGTTTGGTTCCTTCTGCAAGTGTGAAAGTTCCTCTTATCTTGGCTCCCAAGCCGCCAATCCTCCACTCGGTCTGATTCCAATTTGTACCATTCGCACCTGATGCACCTGATGCTTCGATGACGTACCATCCTGTCACGGGAACACTCCAAATTTGGATGCCATTGTTTAAAGTGACTTTGCCGTCGAGTGATGTCCCCGCATACCCGGATGTACTAGTCGGTCCAGTTTCTTCCTTGCCATCCAAGTTCGAAAAGACATATCTGTGCACTAGAACAAGGAATACATATTAAAGACGCCATTAATTTAAATTGCATGGAGAGGTTCACAATATCATACTATAGAATTTGTCTCACCTCTTGATTTTGCACTTGTAAGATCGGCAAATGAATCCTGCATTGAATGAAAGATTAGCCTTCTCATAATATTTGATGGTATTGCGCATCTAAAAGTGTTAAGTCGACAAGTCATTTGGTGATTACGGTGGAGCAAGACTGATTCTGTGTCCGTCTGGGGACTCCTGTTAAACGGATTTTGGTTTTTCGCTCGTACCCACTGACCGAGAGGGCCTTTCGCGGGAAACTGACACCTGAATAACACCGCTGATTGTGCATTAACAAAAGCATCATTTTTATTCAGGGGTTGAAAGGAAGGGGATGTAAGGTTGCAGGAGTCAAAGGACCACCTCACGATAAACGTAATTTATTGAACAACTTCGGTACTTTTGCCATAAATGATAGAAATAATACTCACGCTGATATTCATCAGCTGATGAAATGAATATCCTTTCTTTGGAGATAATGTATTTTTGTCTATGATCATATCACAGTTAGATGTTTCTCTGTTTAACTGGCACACTCCGTTTTTTGTATTTTGAAAATTGAACGACAGGCATTTTGGAAGCGCCAAGCACAGTTGTGCGCATGATAAAACGTCANGCGGCAGAAAGCCTCGTCGCCTTGTTTAAAAACGATACACAAATTATTTTTGTATCTTTCTGTATCTGCACAGCTTGGGATAGCTCATCCGGCCGCAATTCAAAGTTTGATTAAACGGACCATGTTTTTGATACGATGACAAAACCTTCAAAGATTCAAAGATGACCAACTAGTCATCGCAGTAACTGTTTAACTCTAAACTTTTAGTAATGTCCCACTTGTCTTACCGTTAAAACTTTCATTGAACACTCTTTTCTTTATCTTCGAGCTGATAATAAAACAAACGCTGGTTTAACTCGATCTAAAAGGAAAAACCAATCGAAATCAAGAGGAGTCAAATGAGAGAAAAGAGCTTACTTGAACTTCTTACACCCAAGAATGATCTGAATGGTGGTGATTTCCTCAAATTCTTTGGCTATTTTAAGATGCCAATTTTGACAGGCTGTGCAAGCTGCAAATCTATTGTTTATTTGTTTTTTTTTTGTTTGATGTTTTGAAGCCTAGAAACGCTGACTTTCCCCAAAAAAATTTTGTTTGAGGAGTAAAGTTGATACAAATTAATATTTTCGGTAAGGAGCCTAAAATTATTTCTCAAATAATGATACCCGAGATCTCCCGTCTCGTTGATATTTTAAAACTCATTCGAATGTTTTAACCGCATGAGTTTGAATTTTTTTAATGATATTAAAAACAGATGTCACTCGTAATCCTTGTTTTTTTCATTTCACACCAACTTGTAAATGTATAAATGTTTATGTAGGCGTAATTTTANAATTTTGATTATTTATTCAAAGACAACACACTAAAGCAGTATTACTTTTTTCAGTTTTTCCCAGGAAAGGATGTTTACATAGATCGATCGTCGAAACAGGGTGATTGGCATACAAATGCTTTATTGCGTATTTATCTTTAAAAGAAACGGTACATTTCATATAAATTCCTTCTTTGCGTCTTACTCAACTCCATCAGTCCAGACACAGCCATCCTCCCAGGCAAACACGAGAAGGAAAGTTTCCTTACGTACGCTGTTGTTAGTAATCGTACACCGCACTCCTAATTGGATTTCTAAGGCGAGCACATTTTATTCAGTTTAGAAGGTGGCTTTCGCCACAATCACACCCACTCATAGGAGCAATAACGACATGCCATGAGTATACATCGACCAACAGAGCAGCAGGTTTTGAACAGCGTTGCGTCATTTGCTTTGAGTTTTTTCCAAGGACTTTTGAACAGTTTTTGAACATTACTGCCTGAAGCCCACCCAGCATCACAAAATACTTGTGTTTTTCCTTCGTTTTCCGTCAACTTTTTCGTGGCGTATTTTTGATCCTTTGATTGTCAATTTTTGAATGTAAGTTGTGCTTTTCCCTGTATTCGTTCGGTTCTAATTGCTTTTCTCCAGCTGCCACCGTTCGTTTGTTTATATTGTTTCTGGTGATTTTCTTATTTCCTGATGGGTTGCTTTCTTCTGTAATGGCTGAAAATGGCCATTTATGTTCGAGTTGGTATAAAGAGCGAAATTATTGTCACTTCGCAGCTTTCTGTTGAACTTCTTTACTTAAGTTGAAAAATTTTTTAAAGTAAGGCGTCTTGGTTTTTTTAATTGAACGGATCTGACCGAAGAACTCGATTATTTTGGACCCGCCTCTTGAAGTCGCAAACTCATTTGACTTACAAATAATTTTCAAAATTAATATTCATATTTGCGCTCAGCCTTGCACGTGGAAAGAGCTTACGAACTGCAAGAGATTTAAGCGTCTTTTTTAGCTTTTACGGAGTCAAGAAACTCATCGTTTTGACCTACTATATCTTGGATATTGTCTGTTCTGTCCGGCCAGGTCGGCGGGTATTTTTTTTGCTGGATCAAGTGGTTCAGATACCAAGTCGAGGATTAATGCTTTTCAATTTGCCACGACATTTCTTCAGGTAAATAATCTTTGGAAAGACAAATTACC